ATTTTGGAACTAAATGTTAGGTTTACTGAAATTTCTGGTCTCCGAAAATTCTGAAATTCGAAATATTCGAATTTTGAAAAACAGTCGGCTTACGCCCATCCGGGCTGAACCTCCCGGCTCTCGCTAACAGTACCAGTTATCTTCTAGACAGCTTTTGTCTTTTTCATAGGGTCTATTTTTTCATGGACTATAAGCAAATTTCGAATTTCGATATTTCGGTTATTCAGAATTTCCAGAATTTGGAAAGTCAGAAGTAAGGATATCCGGAAATAGGAAAAGTAAGACACTTGGAAGTTCAGAGGTTAGTAAATTTTCAACAATCAGACGTAGGAAAACATTAATTTTGAAATCTAGAAAACTGTTTGAATCTGTTTGTCTCAAATATCGAAATTCGGTATATCAGATTTTAAAGAATTGGAAAATTTCTAAATTCGCATACTTACTAAACGCCGGGCTGGCCTGAGACGGCCCTGACCACAAAATGTATAGAATTTCGAAAAAGTTTAGAAAATATAGAATTTGAGAACCTGAAAAATTGGAACATAAATTCAACTTTTCGAAAAACATTCTAGTGGAAAAGTTTTTGAACTTTGGAAAATCAGAAATTTAGATTTGAGAATTCGAAAATTTAGAAACTCCGAAATTTGAAAACCTGAAATGAGAAAAAAAAGAAAATCTGAAACTTAATTCGATTTCAACAATGATTACAAATTCTAATTTCTCATGTGAAATACTCTGCGATCTCATTCAAATTCTTACTGGTTTTGCTAACTAACTTTTTCTGTGAATAATAATTTCTGTTAATAAAATTTTAAAAAATAAAAATCGTTTTTTTTGCTTCAGTTGAACTTAAAAAATACAAAACTTGAGAAAATTCCCTGACTCATTCATTGAAAAATGCTTTGCTACCTTTAACATCTATTCAAAACGCTAAATTCAGACTCAAATTGTGGTTTCTGTCTTCTTTATTGCTCATCATTCGATTTATGAACCGGAGGTTGTAAACTGTTTATTTTTATTATATGGTGTCGTTATGGTAAGACGGCATTCTCTTTGTAAGACTTATTTTATTAGTATCTGTGTACTTTGGGGAAGATTTTATCTGATTTTTTTGAAACATATCCCATTTGAAGACAAATTGAGCATATATTAATATAAATCTGGATTTGGAAAATTGGGAGTATTCCAAAGTTTCTCGAATTTCATGTAAATTGATATGACGTCTGGAAAGATTCTTTTATCATTAGACCTTCGCAACAAGAATAGATTCACTCAGGTTTCTGTCCATAGCAAAACACTGAATGGTTAACTGTGCTAAATTGCACTCTTCTGGTGGTGATTCGCCGGGGAATGTGCATTGCATCACCCGCAATCACTTTCTTTTATTAAATTCTTTATCATGTAACCAGTATAAAAGCCCCTCTATTGTATCATTCTATATCGTTCAATAAACCAATGTAGCTTCTAAAACATGGTGCATCGTGGGTTGAAAACCCCGGTCGCTCAAAGTCCCGCGTGGCAGGATTCTACATTGGTACCTCTATACTCCTATTATTCGCTGTTGCAATGTTCACTACTGTATCGCAAGCGGCATGCAGTACCAGACATGATTAGCAGCTCCTGATATAGTCAACAAAGTCATTGGCATACTTGAGACTTGGGAATCTGGTGGACACAGGATTAGCAGGTCCAAGTCATCCGAACGACGTGGTCGGGACTTGGTGAGGACGATCACATTTGACGCATCTGAACGAGGACAAAAAGCTATAAGACAGCGATCGTAGCACGTCAGATATCAGTTGCACCCGAGCTTGCAGCTCACCTCCGAACAATATGGATTGTTCAAACCGTAAGGTTTATTTTTATGATAAGCAACACCGAAGAAGAACTTAACTTCTTGCTGCAATCAAAAGTGAACCGACGAGGACGCTTTTCCCGCCCGGATCCTTGCACCAACGAGAGATTTCGATCTTTCATGCTAGACCACCGAGGTGTTAGATCACAAAGACGCGACGTAAACGACATTACGAGTAGAATCATGGAACCCAGTAGAATCATGGAACCCCGTAGATGTCACACCTTCGAACGTAGGACATGGCCTTGACCGCTTAAAAATTAATCTTTCGAAAAAGAGTCTTCGGGGATGCTCTATTTATCTGATTGGATTTTCAGCAACTACAGTAGTAAAATTTGAAATGTTCCACCGTAGTTCCTAAAAATAGGACAAGGCTTATGGTCAAGTCTCGGGAATGTCTTGAAAAAAATATAAATCGTAAAAAGGGTGTAATGGGATTATCAGAAACTACAGTAAGAAAATTTTTTAAAAATTCTACAATAGTTTCTGCAAACACGTACCATGGCTTGGTCAAGTTTTCTAGATTCTTACCTCTGGAAGTTTCAGATCCGGTGATCGCATCCTGGACGAACTGAGAGTCCGAATGAATGGTGACACTTCTGTAACCCTTGTCGATGGCCTGAAAATAATTCAGCTTGATCAACAAAGAAAATTTTGTCGGTAATGGAAATTTCTTTGATATACCGTACTCAAAAATCCACGACCACAGATTTTACAGAGATGAGCACGGACCGCCATGTGGGTTCGAAGATGGGCGGCGAGTTGGGACTTTTTGGTGGATGAGTAGTCACAACCGGCTGAAAAATTTCATTTATGAAGAGTGGATCCAAATACAGTAGTAATACAGTAAGAACATTATAGGTGGTTTCATAGACAGCCTTTCAAACAATCAAAAAAAATTATATCCTGAACCATTTATTGAATTGTTGTACATTACTGTTTCATATAGTGTTTAGCTGAACGTCCAGCGTTAGCTGTGCTAATCGACAAAAGGTGGGTTGTTGCATGAAAAAATTTCTGCAAGAAAGGATAATGTATCAAAACAGTGAGACTGATCATAAAATTCCGAAAAACAACAGAAAAGGAGCAACTTCGAAACATAGAATACTGTAATTCATCATGGCGACAAACTATCCTGATTTGGCTCATAAACTTGTACAGAAGTCACTTGGTTTTTCGATAGAACTCGACGGAAGAAACCTGGAATTGGGTTGGTTTTTTGAAAAATTTTACCGTTATATGGTTATGTATTGAGTAGCATTTCAATTATAGAACAGTATGAGGATATCATTCACTCACTAGGGAATGACTCACATAAGATGTGGAGTTATGGGACGAGACCTATATCATTCGAAAGAGGATGAAATTTCATTTTCAAATGTATGCTCAGTTTTTGCGGCGGCCTCCGCTAACTCGAGAAATTTGGGTCAGAAGTTTTCAGTAGATTTTGCATTGAAATGCATACGTGAACGCTTCCACGTCCTCATTTCTTTTATACGCTTTGAAGAACCATTGAAAACAGCAGTGGAATGGTTCAGTGGTAAAGCGGCGGGATGGAGAAATGGTACTCTATGGTTCGACTCCTTCATAGTCGAAACTCTTTTTTTATTTTTTGTTGGTTTTTTATATGACCTGTTTTTGAGCTCAAAAGCTGTTTTCAGCAGTTTTCCATACTCTAAACACCTTTGGCATCTTGTCAAATACAAATTAACCAAGTTTTTGGAAAAAAAATTTCTGAAGAAAATTCGCATGTTTTCATGATCCATACACCTCTTTTCAAATTTTCCGATTTTTTTATCCTTGGCGGGATTATTCCAGTAGGGTTTCCATCCGGGCGGGCGGTGAGCCGCCCGCTTGCCGCCCGTTCGCCGCCCGTCTATAAAAGCGAGACATAATAATAATCGTTATAATAATAAATATAGATTTCTTTGTGTTTCAAAAAAATTTTTTTTTGAAAATTTGAAAAGAGGTGTATGGATCATGAAAACATGCGAATTTTCTTCAGAAATTTTTTTTCCAAAAACTTGGTTAATTTGTATTTGACAAGATGCCAAAGGTGTTTAGAGTATGGAAAACTGCTGAAAACAGCTTTTGAGCTCAAAAACAGGTCATTTAAAAAACCAACAAAAAATAAAAAAAGAGTTTCGACTATGAAGGAGTCGAACCATAGAGTACCATTTCCCCATCCCGCCGCTTTACCACTGAACCATCCCACTGCTGTTTTCAATGGTTCTTCAAAGCGTATAAAAGAAATGAGGACGTGGAAGCGTTCACGTATGCATTTCAGTGCAAAATCTACTGAAAACTTCTGACCTAAATTTCTCGAGTTAGCGGAGGCCGCCGCAAAAACTGAGCATATATTTGAAAATGAAATTTCATCCTCTTTCGAATGATTTAGGTCTCGTCCCATAACTCCACATCTTCTGTGAGTCATTCCCTAGTCAGCAAATTTTCGGCACGCCAGGGCACAGAGGGGCACAGGATCCGCATCCAAACGGCACCGTGCCGCGTTGAAAGTGCCCTTGGAACACCGCACCCGTGCCCCTAGCAAGCATGTGGCGTGCCGCTACCGTGCCGCTGCCGTGCCCTTTCTTGAACCACCTGCGCATATCGTCTCTATCCATAGTTTCGAAAATGTTGCGAAAATAGCTTGTCATTCATTTTCATAAATTTTTGTACTTTTCACCGTTTTATGGCATTTGGTTTTGTTTTTCTAGGCTTTCAGGTGGAAAATCATGAAATATATTTCTGTTTAGTTTTCAGACATTGGCTGTACCAGATGTCCCGTTGGAAGAGACACCGAAGGAAAATAGGTGAGTTGAGAGATGTTCAAGTAATAATGATGTCGGAAATCTTTTCAGTTATAAAAGACAAGAAGGGAAGTCGTCAAACCGTGGGGGATACTGAAGAAGAAGAAGAAGATATTTTACGACCAGCAACGATGAATATTCAAATTTAAATATGTAAGTGGGCGAGATGTGAAAAACTGAACTATTTTGAAATGACAGTGTTCAAAAAAAAATGTTCGAAATGTTAATGTTAATCCCTATGTTTTACAGTTTCGCTGATCTTCAGTGAAAACGTGCCAGACAACTTCCAATGGATTTTCGGGAAGACAATTCGTCCAAAGAAATGTGAGTTTTCATCCAATTAGTTATGTAAATAATCTTTAATGTTCTTACAGAAACACCCTGCCAAGCCCAACGCCAATAAAGCTGGAGAAGAGGAGTAGGAAAGGTACTTTCATCGAAATTCGACATCTTCGACACAATCTTCTCTACAGATTTAAATGATCGTTTTTTCTTTTTTTTTGTTACTCTTTTTTTTGAATTTCTAATCGAATAAACTGTTAAATTTAAAGAAAATATTGAAATTAATTGAGCCAATTTTGGGGAAAGAATTTCAAATAACGGCACACATGAGCACGGATACGGCACGGCAACGGCACGCAAAATGCATGCGTGCCCCGACCACCCCGGGCACGATTACCGCGTTGCAGCGGCACCGGTGCCCCAAGTAGCGGCACATGTGCCAAAAATTTGCTGAGCACCCTTAAAATTTTTCTTACATTAGTTTCAAATTTTTCAGGACCTCTGACACGGATGGGGATAATAAAAACATCTCGGTTCCCATAGATATTGAAAAAGTGTTTTCTAATAAACTGTTTGAAATATTGTGACAAAATTTTGGAATCTCCCACATGAACCAAAATGGTAAAGGTCTAAATACTCACTCAAAAACGCGTTCCGATAAACATCAACAAGAAAAATGATAGGAATTGGGTCCAGAAAAGGATATAGCTGATATAATGTCTGAAGTAATAAAGCTGCCCAATCATTCCACAATCCAATATAAGGACTGATGAAATACAGTGTGACATGGATGAAAATAAAGAATACTGAGATCTAGGTCTGAAAATTCATTTGGTTTGATTAATTCCATTAAAGTCAGACGATGACAGATAACCGATCAAAAAACAAATGAAAACTTGAATAATTTATTGAATTTATGTACATTACTGTTTCACACAGTGTTCGGTTGCAGTTCAAGAGTTATCAACAGTAAATATTTTAACTTTTTATGGCGACAAACTATCCTGATTTGGCTCATAAACTTGCACAGATGCCACTTGGTTTTTCGATAGAACTCGACGGAAGAAATCTGGAATTAGGTTTTTACAAAATTTCACTGTTACTTGATTATGTATTGAGTAGTTTTCAAATCTTGAAATAATGTAGGTTCAACGTAGAATCTTAATCATTTGTTTGGTTAGAATTTCCCGGCACCTCTGAAATGGATTGGGATAATGAGGGGATTCAGTATGGTACTCCAGCCTATCTATCTCACAATCAGTTCCTGTGAGAGATATCGAAAGAATGCCTCCTTCTAAAATGTTTGGTACAACATCCTTGAAAAATTTTAGTTTTTAGTGTTTTGATATCTCCTACAGGAACCAAGATAACTAGGGTCTAATAACTCACTTAGAAACGCGTTTCGATAATCATCGACGAGAAAAATGATAGGAATCGGTTCAAAGAAAGGATAAAGCTGACATAATGCCTGAAGTAAAAGAGCTGCCCAATCATTACACAATCCAATATAAGGACTGATGAAATACAGTATGACAGGGATAAAAATGAAGAATACTGGGATTAAGGTCTGAAAATTTATTTTGGTTTAGCTTACGGTACAATTGCGAGAATTTTTGTTGAAAACGTTACCTATTTCAAAAGGAATTTGAAACAGTAGTTTTTGTCTTGAAAAATGGAAAATTTTCCAAAACGTAAGCTCAATTTGTCATATTATCACCAACATTTTATCAGTTGACAAATTTTTGTCATCTCTTAAAAGAACCGAGATACTTGAGCTCAAAGTGCAAATATAGGAAAGAGGCTTTACCTGAGCAACCAACGCCTTGTACAACTGAGTCTGTAGATTTCTGGAATACTCATTCTCGCCCTGAGCAATCAATCCTTTGACAATTTTATAAGACTTGTAGCCAAAATAGAGAATAGAATATAACGAGACCCAAATCATAACGTTCACAAGTGATAAGTACCATAGTTCCCTCCAATTGATATAGGAATTTCCAAATTCATCGATTGTATAGTAAAAGCATCCACTATATGTAGTCTTGTCGATGTTCAAATTGAAACGACGCAATAAATCGGGTCTGAATTAGCATCAAAGTCAATAATTAGGATAATTAAGATTTTAATTACCTCAATCTCTCTGTCATGGATTCTCTAGGACCCATCAGAATTGTAGATGTCATACTCATTGCTCCCATAACCCAAGGAGCTGTAATCCAGAGGAGTAGGCGCTTTCCAGCGAAATATTTCAAGCGGCCTTGTCTGGAAATAATTAATTATCTCTGTAGCCAATTAACTAATTACCTCTCTAGTGCGAAATATCGAAAAATGAAGTTTATGGAGGTCACAACAAATATTGCCTGAAATGACGCACATGTCAGTCCTGGAAACTTTTTTTTGTTGAATTTTGGTCCAAGAAGAATTCGATTACCCAAAATCCATAAAGCCACTTTAGGGTGATTTTCGAGAAATGTGTCTTCAAGATTCATGACCATGACGAAGCGGTTTTCACTCAAGATGTACTGAAAAGCTTTTATTTCTTGAGATCTCGAAGTTTCAAAACAGTTATGCTTATGATACTTTGTTATTGGATACTTTATTCTTATAAATAATACTTTATTATTGGTCTGCATCAGAGTAGTTCAAATAAACGGAACATGTGAAACAGAACAATTTTTAAAAAACCGAAAAATACGATTTTTCAAATCGCGTCGCATAACTATAGGACCCCCCCTCAATTTGGGGTGTACAACAAAAACTAGAGTAGATAAGAAAAATCTGTAAATACAGTTGGATTCAGAATCAAAAATAACCCTAGGAACCAAAATTTCAGAACCCTACCATTTTCCATACCCTCACGGCAAGAAAAGGTCCATTTTCGACCGTCGCATAACTATAACGGACCCCCAGATGTTTTGGGTGCACAGGTCGTTTGTTGACCATTTTATCTACTCTAAATTGTTTTATTTACGTTTTTCATTGTTTTAAGCTTTTTCTGAAGATGTTTCTCGCAACTTTCTTTCAACATTTTCGTGTGGAACATCCAACAATGCAAGGAACTCATTTTCGAGATCAAGCTTCACTTCTGGCCCTTCCGTAAATCTCCAGCTGCATTTTTTTACAGTAATTCGGATCGTGGCGATAGTTTGATGTGCAGGTACAGTAACTGAAAATATTAGTTGGTCCTATAAATATGCCTCGGAAACATTCCTTCAACCATGGCTCGCGCTACACTCCTCTCTCTTGCCGAACAGGCCAAAGTGGATGTAATGAAACAACTTGGACTGACACTTGTCCCGTCAACTCACGAGAAACTCAACGAGATGTCCCGTCAACTCACGAGAAGTCGTAACGTCATCCGAAAATACCTCACCGACCCACTCCATTACGAGAAGAAGCTGAAGGAGTCTGCTGGAAGACCGAGAAAGCTGACTTCACGTCAAGAACGCAGCATCTTGAAATCAGTCTCCAACTCGCCCAAAAGTCTGAACGATGTGAAGAACGAACTCAAGCTGCCAGTCCGCAGGAGTACGGTGGGCAGAATAATCAAAAGAAGTGGAGTCATCGTTCGTCAGAAGATGGTCAAAGTTCCGAAGATGACTGATGCCCACAAAGCAGCACGTTTCAATTTCGGGAAGAACCGTTTGACTTCGAAATGGGAGAACGTGAGTTTGAAACAATCAATTTTGAAAAGAAAAATGAATTCAGATCATGTTCTCCGATGAAAAGAAGTGGAATCTCGACGGTCCTGATGGCAACAGGAACTACTGGAGAGATCTCCAAAAAGATCCGCAGCTGTTCTCCAGGCGCAACTTTGGCGGCGGCTCTGTTATGATTTGGGGCGCTTTTTGCAATGGAAAAAAGCTCGAACTTCAATTCATCACCAAGAAGGAGAATTCTGCCACGTACCAAGAACTCTCCAAAAGGCCGTGGCTCCGTTCTTCCGCAACAGACGCCACACCCACACGTTCTAACAGGACAACGCATCCATCCACACGAGCACATCCACGAGGAACTGGTTCGTCTCGAAACGAATCAAGGTGCTCGAATCGCCAGCATGCAGTCCGGATCTAAACCCCTTTGGGGCATCCTCGTTCGCCGGGTCTATCGAAACGGGAGGCAATTCAAGACCGTGCAGGAGCTCAAGGACGCAATCCAGGCTGAATGGGACGCTCTCACTGATGCCAAATTGAAGAATCTTGTAGCCAGCATGTCGAGCAGTATCGTTGAAGTGATTCAAAACAACGGCGGAGAGACTAAGTACCGATTTTTCGATGTGTTTTTTGTTAGTTGCTTAGAATAAATGGATTTTGTTGACTGAAGGGAAAATCGGATTCAGACATGTTTACTTTGAAAGAAAGTTGCGAGAAACACCTTCAGAAAAAGCTTAAAACAATGAAAAATGTAAATAAAACAATTTAGAGTAGATAAAATGGTCAAAAAACGACCTGTGCACCCAAAACATCTGGGGGTCCTATAGTTATGCGACGATCGAAAATGGACTTTTTTCTTGCCGTGAGGGTATGGAAAATGGTAGGGTTCTGAAAATTTGGTTCCTATGGTTATTTTTTATTCTGAATCCAACTGCATTCACAGATTTTTCTTATCTACTCTAGTTTTTGCTGTACACCCCAAATTGAGGGGGTCCTATAGTTATGCGACGCACTGTACTTCTTATAGTCATCTTGAAGGAAAGAAAATTTTGAGTTCAAAAATATGATTTTCAATTATCTCTGACCAATATTAACATAGTTATTTCTAGTGTACTAACAAGGCGAGAGTCTAGAGAAACGAGGCACACTGCGTCTCTGACCCAAAACTTATAATTGGTCGAAAAGTATTCATAGGGTCATATTTTAAGCCAATTTTCGTACGATTAAATCGGATTACGAAGTTGAGAGCCCAAAAATATTACAATTAAAAAAGTAATTATAATTTGAAATTCAAATTATCAAACTTTTTAAAATTTTTTCCCGAAAATAGTCATGTTTAGGTTCAATTTAAATCAAAATTTGTGCTTATTTTGAAAGAGAAAATTCCATAAAAAGATTAAAAAATGACAAAATTATGACACGGCTAGAGTACAAATAAACCAGACCCATTGTGTCTGCATCATTGTGAACCCAATTAAAAAAATGAAACAGGAAATCGATTTTTCACCGAAATGTATAATTTCTATATTCATTTTAAAGCTAAGAACATGCTGAGTTCAGAAATATATCTTTCAGTGAGTTTGGATTGATATTAAAGGAGGGGAGACAGCGAAAAATTCGGGGGACAGTTTGGGGGACGAAATCGCGCCGCGCTTATGTAGACCATCGGTCGACAGGCGCCTTCGCGCCCCCGTAGTTCAGCCGGTAGCGACGCTGTACCCCAGAGCGGCCTGTCATGAGTTCAACCCCTCATGTGGGTTCTCTATGCAAAATATCAGGAAAACTTTTTTTTGATGTCTGGCCTCCTTTAATAGAGTTATGACCTCTTTAGTGTTAAGGTGAGAGTCCAGAGAAACCAGAAACACTGTGTGTCTAACCTCAAACTTGTTATTGCTTGACCATTATTCATGGGTTTATATTTCAAGACAAATCTTTCAGAAAGAACTATTAAACTACGAGGTTGTGAACTCAAAAAAAAAACATTGAAACAGAACTTACATTTTGAAATTTTTAACCTTTTATAACATATTTTTTGTCTATTTTTTTTCAAAAATAGTCAAGTGTGTACTCATTTTAAAGCTAATAACATCTTAAACTCAGAAATATGTTTTTCAATGATTTTAGTCCTTTAACCCTTTCTCACCAGCTGTGTCGTACCATTCAGCACTGCCACAACCATTGACATAATTGAGAAGTAGCACATCAAATGGCGATAATTTCCCATTTTTTCTGGAGACTTCGTGATTACCAGAAAGATCAGAATACAATTTGAAGGAATTGACAGTAGCATTGAAACCAATCCAATAAACCATTTGATTTTGGGAACCGCGTCCATGGTTGGAAAAGAAAATTTCAGAATGAGAAGAAAAAACTTCGAATTTCTCGAATTAATCATAATTGCTATTTGCGATTTTTTCCCCTTGTCTGGGTCTGTTTTGTCATAATTGCACACTTTATGAAAGGATATGATGTGATCGAAATAACAAAACTCAAAAAAGAATAGTTTAAGCCAAAATTTAGAATTCAATGGATCTAGAATCTTCGAATTTACTGAAAAATTGACTGTTTCAAATGATTTGGTTTACCAATCTATAATTCAATTCATTTTGAATGACGTACAACTGTAGTTACCGATGAATTTTAAATTTAGTATCAGAGATGCAGTGTGTCTCGTTTCTCTGCACTCTCGCCTGGGCAAAGAGTCATAAGTTGGGTAAAGAAAAGATATGGTTTTTAGCTTTTAAAAAATATTTTCAGAAGTTTTGCTGTTTTAATTGCTCAGTTTACTCAATATTTCCTTAATGCCTATTCGCAATGAATAGACAGATTTCGAAGGTTGGGTTAGGACACAGCGTTTCTTGAATTGAAATGTCGAAACAGAAAAAATTGCTATACCAAGTGTGTTTCAACTACAAGTTGTCAGGTGCTTCACAATTCAATTCGTCTTCTTCGGCAGTCTCGAAGTTTCATAAATTCATTTAATTAACAAAAACTTTGGATCAGAGACGCAGTGTGTCTGGTTTCTCTAGATTCTCACCTAGTCAGCAAAATCATCAAACTATTAAGATACCAAATTACTTTGAAATGCAGAAAATTCAATTTGTTTTGAAACATTTTGCGGTTTCGATTTTTAAATAATATTTAAATCACTTTTTACAATGTAATAGAGAGCTATTATTTGAGTTTGAAAAAAAAGAAGATAAGATAGAAGTGAAATGAGCTGTAGTAAGAGAACAAATTGCTCAAGTTTCCAGGAAATTCAAATTGTTTTACAAAAACTTTTGCCGTTTCGATTTCTTCAAGTATTTGATTTATTTTTTGCACAAAAAATTTTTTTTTCTGGAATTTTTTTGTACCCTAACTTTAATTTTTGAAATATTGAGAAACTAGGTATGTTATGCGACACAACGGCGCCTTTAGTTACGTATGCCTTCTAAGACACTGTGTCAATGCTCTTTCCCAGAGGAATACATAGGTTAATTGACATCCGTGACGGAATGAGAGAGAATGTACCAATTTTAGTAATTTCGGGCACTTGCCCTTTTTGAGAGAAACATTGACTCATTTATAGAATTACGGGAAAATGTGAATGGATGAGTTACAGTAGGGAATGCCGTAGGAGAGAACATTGACAGCAATATTAGCAAAGCGTATTTAAAGAATCCACGAAACAGAGAATCAGATATAATCTACTGACCTTTAAATTATACAGCTGAAGACTTTACTAGGATACAGGATCTTCCTTATATATAAAACGCTAGACGCGTCTGTCCGTCCCGGTGTCCGTCTGTCGACTTTTGGGTTTTCAAATAAGAGTTTGGCCGCAACCAAAACTGAACTCGCGACCTTTCGCACAATAGCTGCGCACGCACACAGCTGCACCATGAGAGCCAGAAAGAAAGAGGGAAAGGAGGGCGTAGAGGTTCTACTCGACTGGAGAGTTTGGTGTGGTCGTCGCTGCACGCCAAAGCAAAGCATAGTGGTTGACGCGAGCCCGCTTTTTGTCAGTTGCAGCATTATACCGCGCCTTCGCCGATTCGGTTGTCGTTCTATACTAGAGGCGCTTAAAAAGACAGCAAATCGAGTGAATTCATATCACAGTGAATGGTTGCGGCATAATCTCCGGGGGATAGGAAGGGGTAGAAAAAGCCGATATCGTGCGTTGCGGGTTCGAGTTCGATAGCCAGCATTTTTTTGCGAATTTTCAACACGGTTCAGAAATGTGTGAGAATGTAAGCGAACGATTTTCTCTTCTTGAATGAAATGGTAAAACAAGAGTATCCCGTTTCTCAAATTTGATTAGTTTCAAGTCGATTTAATATTTGATTGATTTTCGAAGCGTTCACTTTGTTTTTGTCTCAAGTCACTAGAAAACCTTGGAAGAAAATTTGGTGAAAAATCAGTACATTTAATGGGTTTTTCTTGAAAGATTCGTCTCAAAGCACAGAAATTTTTGATGAAAAGCCGAAAGTCATACACTGAAAACACCCTGTAGCCCCTCTTTATTGAAACCCCTCTAATAGAACGTTCTCTGAGATGTGCTTCGAAAAATAGAATGCCAGCCTCCGAAAAACAACACTCTCCAATCGAATAATAGAATGCCGCCGAAAAATTACTCTTTACCAGATTATCAATCTGTTGGTTCTTAGAGTCAGCCAGGGATGTTCGGAACGGAGTTCGGAATTATGACCATTCTCGGAATAGAATTTCTACCGGAAAAAATCCGAAAATTTTTTTTGGAATTGCTTGCAGGTCAAGAGCGAACTTACGTTTGATATTTTTTTGCGCTGTCGAAATCTTTCTGTCTGTTTTCATTAGTTTTTGGCGTTTTTGTGCATTAAGAATTGAATTTCTACTTTAAAACTTGAATTTTTTAAAAACTCCGAATATTCCTAAATTTTAACATTTTGAAAATCTGAAAATTTCGCATTTCCGAAACTCCTAAATTTTGGAAATCGAATTATCGACATTCAGGAATATTCCGAGCAGGGCATTCCGAACATCCCTGGAGCGGGCTGACCTATTGTGCGGTACGCTAGGTGTATTTTCTATTGAACATTTTTCTTTGATTATTTTAAATTTTTGTTTTCTTCTTTTCTTTGCCTTTTCACAGTTTCTGTTTCGGTAGGGTCCGAAAAGAATCTTTGCAAAATTTTTCTGCAAAAAATAGTGTTGAAGAATAGAATTCCACCCTCTAATAGAACTTTCTCCCAGCTATTCATTTAAAATAGAACGCCATGGCATTAAATTAGACTATATAGGTGCAAAGCTAAAAAGAGTTTAAAAATGTTTCTAAGATTTACTAATAGAAATTCTTCCGCGCTTATTCTTTTCAAGGTCTCAATTCAAATCTTTGGATATTCAGAAGTTTGAGTATTTGGAATGTCTAAAATAAAGATATCCAGAAATTGTAAAAGTAAGACAATTGGGGATTTAGGGATCAATTACGAAAAAAATCGAAAATTCCAAAACTCTTCATTGCCAATATTCAGAAGTTTCAAGTCCGAATGTCCACGTTTTCGGAAGGTTAATTCATGATTTTTTTTTAAATTCGAAAGGCTTCGAGTTTTGACTTTCAGAATTTATAATTCGGAACTTAAGAAATTTGGAAATTGAGAAATTGAGACGGTCCTAACTGAACACTTTTCGCAATTACAAATCTCGCGAATTTTCATATAAGACGGCAGAAATTTGAAGAATTTTTTTCTCATTTCTGAAAACCGGAATTTCTCAAATTTCATGTACAAAAAGAACAGAGTTAATAGAAAGAACAAAAGTTTTTCGAAAAATTTGTCTGTTCCACAGATTTCGTCCAGTTTCGCCTTGCCTTTTACAATTCAGAAATTTTCTGTATGAATATTCCAGAAATTAGTCAAAGTTATAGAAAATGTTGATTTGATGGATCTGAAAATGATCTTGAACAGAAAAATAGGTGGACAAATTAAAATTGAACAGTGTGCACAGTTGGGACAGTGTTGACAGTGTAGTAGTAGTTTGCTCAAATCCAGGTGACAACCAATCTTCCTGCATTTTGAACTTCTTGATGCTCTGTGCCTTCTTTTCTTTTACAGGTACAGAATCGGTTTGTCTCCCGATTTTGTACTTTTTTAAGGAAAAAGTGGTCACGCCAAATTCAAGTTTTATTTGAATTGTGCCACGAGGTACAAAATCGGTAGGCAAACCGACTCTGTACCTAGTGAAACAATTCAAATTTTCTCTGATTTCACGTGTCTTTTTGTGGATTTTGAAACATTACTCATGAAATCTGATTTTGAACCAATTTTTTGATCGACACTAACTTTCTACAATATGCTTATTTGGGTGAGAGTGATATCTGAAATTTTGGATATTTTGAGACTGCTATCCAATATCCAATCCGCTAGCCAACAGTCAATCCGATGTCAACAATAAGTACCATCAAAAGATGAGAAAGAATTCGGGTCGGGTATATACTTACTGTTAACGTCGGATTAGCTTCAAAATATCCAAAATTTCAGATATCACTCTCACCCAAATAAGCGTATTGTGGAAAGTATTGTGGAACTTCCAGAAAATTCAATTTTTTTTGAAAAACTTACTGTTTCAATATCTAAAAATATTTGAATAATTTTCCGATAAAATACTTACCAACTTGAATTAGGGTCCATGAAAAAGCTACTATTCATATTTGGCGCTTGTCCATAATCACAGACCTAGTGTGTTTGGTTTCTCTGCGCTCTCACCTCCACAGAAAAATGTTTGTAAATTGCGTATTTCTTGTTCGAAATTAAAGGAATGCATATTTTCAGACCTGACCTTTTAACAGCTTTCGAAAGAATATGAATACGACCCATTTTGAGAAATTTCGAACCAGAAAAAAACTTTAATGTTTCAAGTGTTTTTGAATTTGTATTTATCTAGTGATTCACAGTTTAATTGGTATCGGATATCTCTCATAATTTAATTTGCTTCAAAACTTTTGGTCAGAGACACATTGCGTCTGGTTTCTCTGGATTTTCACTTTTTCTTCTCAAAAACTTCGCCGTTTCGATTTCTAAAAATATTTGAATCAATTTTTCACAAAGTAATTAGAGAATTATTTATGGACGGCTCGTATAAAATCACAGAAGTTAGATCGTTCTTTTTAGTAGGAAAACATTTCTAAATTAATTCTTTGTATCCAAATTAATTTTTAAAATAATATGAGAAACTAAGTTATGCGACACAACAGCGCTGTTAGTTACCTATGAATTCTAAGATTCCGACACGCTGTCAATATTCTTTCCCAGTGGACCACATAGGTTAAATGACATCCGTGACGAAATGAGATGGTATGTACCAATTTCTAAAATTGACTGACACCTGTACTTTTGTAGCGAAAGAAACATTGACTCCTTTATAGAAACATGGGAATATGAGAATAGATGAGATACAGTAGGAAATACCGTAGGAAAAGATATTGACAGCAATATTGGGAACCAGAAACAGTTACAGATCGTTATGCGTTATTTAGAGAATGAGATACAATCCTCTGACCTTGCAAATATACAGCTCATCACTATACGAGGGTACAGGATTCTATTATAAGTGTATAAGGGATACTGTAAAAGCAATAAAAACAGTATACAACCTCCGGTTTATAAATTGAGCAACAAGAAGAGAAAACAATAAGGTTATGGTAATTGATTTCAGAAGAAGAGGTTTTCAATTTCAGCTTCGCAAGCAAGCATGTTGAATCTCCTATCCGTTCCATCCCAGGAATCCTTGTTTTCCGGACAAAAGAAGTAATATGAAAATATTCAAAATTATTAGGACTTCATGAACGTCTCGAAAAGCTACAACTATATGAATGATGTCAAAGTTACGAAGAATCAGTATAACGCATTCCTGAAACATTTTTTTTTCGGAATTTTTTCCAGTTTCAAAGATTTATGCCAATTTTCGTACGAAGCAAGTGAATAGACCCCAAAAAACGTTAAATCAAGTTTCATTGACATATTGTTATTTGAATGTTCTATTTTCAATAAGTTTCTTATCAGCTAAAAAGCCGAGGACACTATGAACATCAATCTCGAAGGAGATGATTTTTTGATGTTTTCAACGCCAACTGGTTAAATTCCTGAATTCGGTAGGCAACGTTGTAGACATATTTTTATTAGCGACTTTTTAAATGACCAATAGGATTCACAATTCATGGTCCAGTGTTTTGTTTTTATTTTATCTGCCGTTAATCCCAATAATTTTGATGAATTTCATTTTACATCTATTGTCTGTAACACACGGATTCCAAGGATGGAATGGTTAGAAGATTCAGTGAAAAAATATAACGTTTTGGGTTTTACCAAACATGCGGGTGGGCGAAATTTGAATTAAAAACCATTGAATCTTTTCTGATTTTGAAACCAATAACCATAACTCTGCGTGTTATCCATCCTTGTTGCTCATAATTGAATTTATGGACCGGAGGTTGTATACTGTTTTTATTGCTTTTACAGTATCCCCTATACAATCATAATAGGATCCTGTATCCTAGTATAGTAATGAGCTGTAAAATTTTAAGATCTGCTGATTGATGTATCTGATTTTTTTTTAGAATTCTCATATATGGAACGATGTTCCTAATATGCTGTCAATGGTCTTTCTTACTGTATTTCATTGATTCTCATTTTCCCATACTTCTGAAAATGAGTCATGTTTCTTCCAAAAAGGGCAAGTGTCTGAAATTTCTATAATTGGTACATCCTCTCTATTTCAGTCACGGATGTCAATTAACCTTTGCAGTGCTCTGGGAAAAAGTCTAATATACTGCCATACTTTTTCCCAGAAGACTGTCAATATTAATATCTGTATTGATCTCTTCATCGTCAATGGTCCGTATTATGGTGGGCGGATGACCTCCCCCTTTGACTCCGCCCCCTCAGATCATAACCGTCTCAGGAAATATTATTCATTCATTTTATTTTATCTCTCCCAGTCTCGTCCGGTTTTGCGGTGGTCCTCCGTCATGCTTGATGCCCTTTCTTTCTATAATATCGATTTTTGATGTTTCACTACTTTTTCTTAGAAGTTTAAAGCTTCCATTTTCATCATTAAATCTAGTTCGTAAAAAGTTTTCAGAAAACCAAAAAAAATCTGGCATTCGGCTAAATTGTTTTAAACAAAACCATTTTTGATTCTTTTAGGAGTAAAACTTCACATTTGTATAGCAATATATGTAGATAGAACTCGCATATAACGAATCTGAAATCCCATTTTAACGCATAAAAATCATCAAGACCCCTTCGGCATTTCGCTTCAACTACGTATCTTTTTCTAGAGTATCTTTTTCTAGCGTACAATTTCACAGGGTACGTCCAATTTCTAAAATAGGTGCATACTCTCATTTATTTTAAGGTCTGCTGATTGTATCTGATTCTCTAGAAAGACCATAACGATTTGCACATGTTTCTGGGAATGAGATTCCTAATACATATTGCTGTCAATGTTCTTTTCTATTGCATTTCTTACTGTATCTCATCTATTCTCATTTTCCCATAATTCTAAAAATGAGTGAATGTTTCTTTCAAAAAGGGCAGGTGTCTTTCTATAATTGGTACATCCTCTCTCTCTCTTTCCGTCACGGATACCAATGAAGATATGTGGTCCTCTGGCAAAGAGTCTACTATTATACCGTATTATTTCCCAGGAGACTGTCAATATCATTCATATATTTCTTCTTATTGATTTTTATTGATACCCGGTGCGGTATGGTGTCCTGGCGACCTCCTCCTTTGACTCCGCCCCCTTGGATCTTAACCGACTCAGAAAACATTATTCATTCATTCTATTCTTCCTCGTCCGGTTTCCGGTGGTCCCCTGTCTTGCTCAGGGTCCTTCTTTCTTAAATAAAATCCATTTTTCCGCTTTAGTCTTCTCCTGTTTATTACTCTCACGTATACGTCTTACTAATCCTTCTAACTTATACCAATTTTCAGATGGATACCAACTTCCAAATGTACCAACCTTCAAATGCCTTCTATAATCCAAATCAAGGAGTTTTTGGAGTTCACGGAGAGCAGCACATGCCATTCTACCCACTAATTCAACCTGAAATTAGAATTAAGCTAAAAAATCAGGACCAATGGATGCACCTACACAAAACCAAAGGAGGAAATGAGATGATTGTGGGAGTTCATGGAAGGTTAGTTTTTTTTTTGAATTCAGAATTAATAGGAGATACAGTACTGGCCAAAAAGAATGCGTCGATAGGTTTTTGACTGTAACTTTTTTAAAAATAGAGCTAAAGTGTCAAACTATTTTGTAAAATGTAGCAAATAACTCTTGAAAAATTATTCTAAAACATTTTTACCCAGAAAACGGAAAACAACTTTTTTGGCGACAAAATTCACTTTTTGAAAAATTTCGGATATTAGAATTTTTTTCACTGTCGAGTCGACAATGTCGACTCATTATTTTTGGCCAGCACTCTCTGTATGAGGTTATGCAAAAGTTTCACAGAAAAGTTAGTGTTAGAGGTAGTGCTAGGAAAAGTAGTCATAAAATGCACCTAACTTAGCAAATGTCACATGTGAAACAGTTATCTTCAATAAATCTAAGGATCCTTCTTCAACTTTCGAATTTTTAGAGCAATGTTCCCCAGAATCCAGTTCGAGGCCACTAACCTCGTCTGGTCCAAAATGTATACATTTGGAATGAAAATGGTATTATGCAAGCGAAAAAAGTTTGTGTATGACAAGAAGACCGGATGGGTTTGCGATGAGAATTCTGAAGAAATGCCAATCGGAGAGTCTAATGAAGTTTACACATTGAGCAAGTCTGGAAGTTATTTCATGGACTTCGGCATCGATTTCCAACACGTCAAGATCTACAATGAAAAAACTTTGAACGAGATTTCTTCCAAACCTTCGAAAGTCAACAAGGCTACTTCCGTAAGTTCAAAAATACCTTAATTAAGATCCCAATTAATACATTTTTCAGTGTGAAGTCTATCTGAATTGCAAGTATATTCCAGTATTGACAATTTACGAGGAAGACTGCAGAACCGTCATTCGTCAATTCCAATTCGAAGAAACTCAGTTTGTAGCTGTTTCGGCATACAAGGTAATTAGGCAACTAATTAAGGTCAATTAATTAATTGATTGATTTCAGGGTGAGGATGTTAAAGATTACAAGTCTTCTAGCAATAAATTTGTGCGTGGTGGGTACAGAAATCGAAAGGGCAGAAGAGAGGAGGAAGAAGCATCTCAAGCTGCACCCAATGATTCTTCTGAAGCCCCAGGTGCTTCTCCTTCTTCTAATCTCAAAAGAGCTGGCTCACCATTGAATGCTCCTAAAAAAGCCAAGAGATCCAAAAAGAATAAAAATGAGCTAAAAGGATTACAAGCTACTGGAACTCCGGCACCTTCTGGATCCACGACAAATTCAATGCCATCTACCTCATCTGAACCCATCCAGAATACCTTCGGATCTCCACAATCACTAAATGGATATCATAACTTGTCTGGATTTGACTCCACTAATACGTCGATCTCCTCCAACATGCCTAGAACTTCCTTATCTCCTCCTATCAATGAAAATCGTGATCCAGCTGTCCCCAGTTACAATCAGATGATTCAACCACAAGCATCAGCATTATTTGGAGAGTCTCAACAATATTTCGGATATGGATGCGATTCTGCTAACACATCGGCTTCTTCCGCAATCAATAATCTATCGATGTCCCCTCCAATGGCGTTCAATGAGAATCAGGATCTATCTCTGATGCCACCACAAGTCTTCCAGGATCCCATGATCAACTACAGTACCCCATCGACTTCCAACACAAACCACATGCTGGATACGAATTACTTTGTGAACGAAGCCACCAAATTCTGGAATCAGATGAATGAAGTGGAGTTCAAGACTGCTGCACCAAATCCATATCAATTCAATTGTAATAACGAATACAAATTCTAAATGTTCTTGTTAAGTGTATTTTTAAGTTGTGTCCGGTAAGTTTGTTATTTATCTAATTTATTTTTAATTCGCTGAAACTAATCATTTTTCAATAAAGTTTAAGTAATCAAATGCCAGTTTTGAAGATTCAAATGAAATTAGAAAAAAAAACAATTATTCCCGATTCAAAGACGTCATTTGAAATCGGTCTGCCGATTTTGAATTATTGCTTTGGAATAACAAGATGTTTGTTGCATTGCAATAATATGGAAAACTTGATACTTATCAAAACTACAAAAATTTCAAGATCCTTGAAAGTGTTCAATTTTTTCTGTTCCAAATATTCCTTTCTTTTCTATTTCAGTAATTTCTATTACGTCATTTCGAATAATTTCGAAAACTTCCACTTCAATGACTCATAAATTCCTGATATTTTTGATAACCACCAAAATGGTTTCCCAATCATTGTCTATTTCTGCCGAACTACAACTGATAAGAAAAAAGTGGTTCTCTAAAATACGGTTTTTTGGAACTGTGCCAATAGTACATAGTTATTACGAAATCGCTTCAGCTGATAAGAGCAACTGACTTAGCCACGCCCCTTTTCTAGAAACTTCCAAACCTTTTCGGTTTCATAATCATCAGTTCTCTTCTTATCAGTTTATGTCATTGATTCATTTTTCCATTCAATCAAAAAGTTTATCAACTATGCCCCACCCAAAAATTGCAACCGTCTGAGTCAAGGGTTACTGTAGCCCGGAAGGAAATTATCAGTATTCGCTTAATTGGGGATGCAAAAGTAGACTAATTAGCTAACTAGGAGGAATTATCAAATTGTTTCAGATCATCAAAATAACTACATAGCTGAAATTTCTGGGTTTCATGATATCGAGTTGGTGGAGCTTCATGCAGCTCGGACTGCAATAAAAATGGTTTAATTTACCAATTAACTTTTTTTTAAACTAAAAAAGGACGATTTTCAGGCGAAGAAACAAAAATATACAAAGATTCGAATCCTCACTGGAATGACTATTGTTTGGGACTTCATAAAGAACTCTGCCAACTTCGCAAAGTAATTAAGTTCATTTAATTGGTCAATTAACACTTTTCCAGCGCTCCTCTACAAGTGCGCCCTATCGTACAAGCTATACATGCACATAAAGAGTTTATCATTATCAAAGTGAAACTTATCGCTGGAAAAGAAAATATTGAAAACTGATAAACTTGTTATCATTTTTTTTGGAATTGCTTTTTTTCCATTTTTGATACTGAAAATGTTGGTTTGATAAACATACTTTAATAAAATCTTCCAGTGTTCTATTTAAAATTTCAACCTGAAACATGAACAATTTGAATCAGAAAACTTTTCAGTTATTCGGTTGTCTTGAGATTTCCAAAAAAATGTTGTTTGAAAACTTATTTTTCTTGTTTTTTTCAAATTTAAATAACAGAATTTTCATGGAATCAGTTAATAGTTATTTTCAGAAAAAAGATAATAAATTTTCGATAATTTTCCAAAATCAGAATTAGAATTTTAAATAAAAGTCACAGTTTTATTGGGTTCACATTAGAAGATTTCCTAATTTTTGACATTAGTTTTTGGAACTCATTTTGAGAGAAAATAATCTGAAAGTGATCATTTTTTTATTCCCACCTGTCTTAAATTTGACTATTTTCCAATCAATTATCCAATCAATGATTTTTCAAAGCTCAACAATTTGAAATTCCCATACATATTTCAAAATGAGTCTCTCTTATCACCAACTTTGCACAATGCCAATTACTCATAGTTATTACAAAACATTTTCTTAATGATTGCATTTTTTCAAACCAATTTTGTCAACTGATAACACAAACCACGCCCACCCTTCCCCAATTTCCAGCAAATACGATAAGAATGCACATAAAAAGGAGCAGAAACTGCTGGAAAAAATCAGTTTTTGTCAAAAATGACGACTGCCGTGGTTCATGTGTCTGGATATTCCAAGCCTAAAGGTCGCAAGGATGCTCAGATGTGTTATATGGTTTATTGGGGAATTGGTAGGTCAAAAAATTGTATTTATTGATTTTTTTGATTTTCAGACCATCCAAACAGTCATGAGGCTGTAGTCGAAGGATATTTAAATGAGGATCATGTGGAGCTTTTTGCAGCTAGAGTGGCTATAAGAACGGTAAGGAAATTTCTACAGGGTGGGTACTAATTATTGATACACATTCAAGACATAATAACTCGTTTGAAAAACATCGAAAACTGTTAAAAATTTTAACAGTAGATCACGGCACGCAAGCGTTTTGCAGTCCGGAAGAAGATTAGCAGTCCGCGCCCGCCAGACGGTCCGTTTTTCGGCAGTCCCCCTCTACCTGTGCAACCGATGTTGTCCTCTCACGCGGAATTGGTAGAGGAGGGAAGGGCAAGCCGAAATCCCCAGCGCACCGAAATCGGCCCAAATTTCCAGACAAAGTTTTTCAGCCTGGGAGTGAGAACGGGCTAAAAATTTTTTCGTCATCGTATAGAACATGTCTTAAACTATAAGCATGCAAATTTTGAGCAAATTCTCAACCGTTGTCTGAAAAACCTTCCCTTGTTAGGCTGAATCATCGTGTTTTCTTCATTTGTTTCCTACACCCAAAAAACGACGGCAAGTTTAATGACTCTGCTCGTTGCAGCCTCTAATCTAACTCCCATATGTCCCATGATCCCCAGAACATCTGGGAAAGGTCCATGTACACTATCAATTAGTGTACCTTAAGGACTCAATATACCACTCGGGTGTCATTTTGGATACTGAGCAAAGAAAATGTAATGCCAAGGTTAGATCTCAGGATAGTACTTGAATGAAGGTCCTAGCAATTTTTGGATTACCCAAAATTTTCGTTCCGTGATTTTATTTTTCGTTCCGTGATTTTATTTTTCGTTCCGTGATTTTGTTTCGTTCCGTGATTTTTTGTTCCGTGGTTTTTTTTCGTTCCGAGATTCTAGAAGAGTGCCAAGCTTGCGCCATTTCTTTCAAAATGGAGAAAAAGACATGAAACTTCGCAAATATGTAAAAGAAAGTGTAATTGACAAAATTTTGAACAATTGCAGCCGGTTGCGCTTTTGTACAGGCGTGTAAGTTGGCGCAAACTTGTGTATCAGTATTTAGGATCCACCCTGTGCAAAATTGTCCGTTTTAGTCACATTTTGGCGCAAAAAACTCCAGGAATCTTTCAGAACCTTAAGATGCTTCTAGAACCTTCCAAAATATAATTTTCCAGACGGCCAAACAGAAAAACTCCAGAATCATGATCCGCTGTGACTCAATGGAAAATTTTAGTCGATTTTCATTGACTTCATAAACTATTCGAGTCATATAAGACTTCAGCAATCTTTAAACATCTTCTAAACACGTTCCAATTCTTTTAGAACCTTCCAGAAAAAAATTTTCCAGGCGGCCAAACAGAAATACTCTAGGATCATGATCCGCTGTGACTCCCGTTTTGTTTATGATCAAATCAAAAACTCGGCCAACTTCGCGAGGTTTGTATAACTCTTTAAATTTTCTAAAACCCATTTTTCAGAGCTCCGCAAGAAATCCTCCGCTTGGTCGCATCGATTCACCACTTCAAGAAGCAGATTCTGGTAGACTTCGGAAAATTGATAAGAATGACACTGATAATAATTTTAACACTGCTTTGATGAAAATTAATCCAATTAACAAAATTTATATTTTTAAAACTGTTATCATGTATTGGAAATAAGTAAAGTTTACGAGTTTTGTGAAGATTCTGAAACAGTACTCTTATTTGAATTCATTTTATGAAGTTTTTTGTTTGGAAAAATTTTTGAGGTGTATAAATTGAGGGAAAAGTGGTAGAAGTACCGGCCGAGCTACGCGGTCGTGCAGCCGGAACTCTGAAGATGTTTTCTCAAAAGCTTTTGTTTCAAATTATTCATTTTTAGATCAACAGTTTCAATAAAACAACGAAAGAACTTTTTGGAACCATTTTTATGAACCCTTTTTTTATAATGGGAAAAAAAACTCAAGAAAAAATTATCAACTATTCATTAGTTCCTAATTTTTTCTCTTTTCTTTGATAATGAAAAACTAAATGTGTTCTTATTATAAAGGCTCTCACTTTTTTTTATATTATTTAGTTTTTAACTTGCAAGTAAGCTAGTGAAGTGCAAGCTAATTTTAAACGAATTTTCAAGTTTTGAAATTAGAAATGTCAACTGGTAATTACAGTATATCTGGATTCTTTAAATTCCATGCTTCTCTTTAATCCAAAATATTTTTCCAATTTCAAATTCTCCCTAAACCTTATTCTCATCTCTCCTCATCGTTGATTATTTGGATCTGAAATTGTGGACTGTTCCTCCCATCACTGGTACCTCAGGTTCCTTTGTTTCGATTTTTTGGTTTTGATGTATTTCTCGCTGAAACCATGAACCATAACTTGATTGCCATCTATCTGTGTTGCTCAATTTATGGACCGGAGGTGTGATTTTGAAGTGGGAGAACTGTATCGGATTTTCTAGAAAACGTAACATCTCTTAACATTGCTGGCAACGTTACCGTATTTTCTACTGTATCTCATATATTCTCATTTTCCCATACTTCTAAAAATGAGTCAATGTTTCTTTCAAAAAGGGCAAATGTCTCAAACTTCTATAATTGGTACATCCTACATATTACAGTCCCGGATGTCAATTAACCTTTGCGGTCCTCTGGGAAAAAATATTGATAGTGTCGGAATACTAAAATACACAAGGGGTAAGGGCAGGTGTTTAACAACATTTCTATAATTGCTACATAATCTCTCATTCCGTCACGGATATCATTTAACCTATGTGGTCCTCTGAAAAAGATCATTGGCATAGTCATACATAACTAACAACGCTTATGTGTCCCATAACATCGTTTCTCATCAATTCAAATGTTGACGGCCAGTAACTTTATATCCTTAGAATCTTTTTATTTGTATATTTCCCACTATATTTTTGAAATATTTCCCATTTCACAAACATATTTTACACTAGGCGGTCTTTTGGTTTCAGTAGCGAATCTTCTTAAATCTACGAAAGTTTAATAGGTCTGTAAATGTAAAGCTTTGCTATTACCAATTAGTTTTTTTCTTTAATTTGAACGAATTTCGATAGGAAAACCTCAAAAGATGATGTCAGGAAATACTCTGTGGTGCTTTTGCAGAAGGCATAATTATTTGATTGACAATACCAAAGATGTTCCGAAAACTGTTCGTGATTTCTCAATTGTAAAGCACTGTAGTTCTAGAATTCACTTATTATCAGACTCACCGCCTCATTTCTCTTTTCGGAACAACTTCAGACCTATTGGCGCAATTCAACCTTTTGGGTAGATCAAAAACTCATTTCTCGATTTTACAAGGGAGGTCGTTTTAGAAAGGCTTTCAGAATTTTCTTATTTTTTGACAGGGGTTAGTTGACACGCACTTGGGTTCAAGCAAGGGGGTCAGAAAGAGCGCCCCAGTAAATTTAGGAAAAATTCTAAATTCGCTGCCGAGTTTCGTTGGCTGAGTTTCACAGTTTTAAATGAAGAGCGAAAAAGCGCGCCTTGCAACCAGTTGATTTTGAAGAAATATATCATGATCTAGATCAAACCCGCGTCCAATTTAAAATTATTAAATTTCTTCTGGCCTACGAGTTTGCTGGGGCGCGCTTTCTGACCCCCTCGCTTGAACCCCAGTGGACACGCTCAAAAAGCCCCTGTCAAAATCTGTATATGCACTTTTTCCAAAAATAATTTTTGTCTGAAAGTTTCCAATTTCTTAACCATTGTAAACCTCACTTTTCTCCATCATTTCGCCTCCCGGGAACTTCCGGAAACACCGTTGACATGTACACACTTACGCACTGTTGTTCCCAGCAGTGAGGTGGCCGGGTGGTTGTGGGCGCGTGCTGTAAGCTGAAGGTCTGGGGTTCGATTCCCTCTTTTGAAATTATCTTTTGCTTTTTTTGATCAAATTCCCAGGCATCTATTCAGGGCTCAAAACATGTTTTTGACCAGAGTGTTTTTGGCCAAGTTTTTGGTGGTCAACTCCATGCTAGATTTTCGATGAAAATTTTTTCGTTCGAAATTTCTCAATTTTTGTATGGAATGTATTTTTGTAAATTCTTATTAGTTTCTCATGATTCATCCACCTTTTTTTGACCTAGAACAATGCAAAATCACTTATAATTCATTGTTTTCTTTCGATGTTGGACTATTTGATTCACTGTTTTTCGACATATTTTGAGTCGAAAAGCGGCTAGAAGATCATTAGAAATTAATAAGAACTCACAAAAATACATTTCATACGAAAATTGAGGAATTTCGAACGAAAAAATTTTCATCGAAAATCTAGCATGGAGTTGACCACCAAAAACTTGGAAATTTTCGAAAAAAAACTAACTTTGAAAAAATTGATATTTTCTGCTTCTCAAAGTTTGAAAATCGGCAAAAACTCAAAAACTCTGACCAAAAACATGTTTTGAGCCCTGAATAGATGTCTAGGAATTTGATCAAAAAAAGCAAAAGATAATTTCAAAAGAGGGAATCGAACCCCAGACATTCAACTTACAGCACGCGCCCACAACCACCCGGCCACCTCTCTGCTAGGAACAACAGTGCGTAAGTGTGTACATGTCAACGGTGTTTCCGGAAGTTCCCGGGAGGCGAAATGACGGAGAAAAGTGATGTTTACAATAGTTAAGAAATTGGAAACTTTCAGACAAAAATTTTCAGCATTTTTGGAAAAAGTGCATATACAGATTTTAACAGGGGTTTTTAGCGGGTCAACTAACCCCTGTCAAAAAATAAGAAAATTCTGAAAGCCTTTCTAAAACGACCTCCCTTGTTAGAAGATATTTCATAGTCAGATTGAAAATTGATTTTTCCGTTCACCCTTGTAGTTTCCATCAGTATTTTTTTTTTCATTTTTTTCTACAGTAATCATCTCAAGGTCCTTTTTAAGAACCTCTTTTTTTTCTACAGTATCCTTTTTCCTACCGTACTCTTTCCCAGAAGACACTCTCTGTTTCCTGTGCTATCTCGCTCATATTGATTGTTGATGCGTTTTATGGTCCCGCCCCTTTGAATCCGCCCCTTAGCTAACCATAACCGTCTCAGAAAATATTTGTCATTCATTCGATCTGTCTTCTTCCGGTTTGTTGGTCCGCTACCTTCTGGAATACTAATCGATATTCTCTCTCAATTCTTTCTAATATCAACTTCCATCAATTTTCAAGATGCACAACACTTTCCAAATGCACCATCCTTCTAATACCGTCTACGACCCAACTCTGAGAGTTCATAATACCTATCCAGTTTACGGATATCAGCAGATGATGCCAGTTTATCAACCGATTCAGCGGAAAGAAATTCAAGTTCGGTTGAAGAATCAAGATCAATGGAGCTATCTGCATAAATCTGGAGGAGGAAACGAGATGATGCTGAAAATCAACGGAAAGTGAGTTTACTTTGACATTTCCTGACTACGGTAACTTTTCTTATTTTCAGACCGCTGTTCCCAAAGATTCAATGCGACGTACAAAACCTAGATGCGTCCAGAGACTACGATATTGGTATAAAAATGGCTCTTCGCAATCCAAAACAATTCGTTCATGACAAAAATACAGGATGGATTCCCGATGAGAATTCTGACGTAGTACCTGACAAGGAATCCAATGAAGTGTTCATCCGCGAGTCTGGAGCAAATCTCATAAGGCGTGGCATTGATTTTGGGTACGTCAAGATCTACAACGATAAAATTCTGAAGGCTAACGAGGTCCCGTCCGAACCTAAGAAACTCAATAAAGCGATTTCAATTTATTTATTTAGGAACTTTGAATCGTGTTCATCAATTTATTTAAGTGTTCATCAATTTATTTATTTAGGAACTTTGAATCCATTAATAAAATTTCAGTGCAAAGTCAATCTGAGATGTCTCCACATTCCCGTCATTACCATCTACGAGGATGACCGTAAAACCGTAATCCGCCAATTCCAGTTCGAGGAGACCCAGTTTTTGGCGGTTTCGGAGTACAAGGTAATTAGGAAATTAATTACGGAAGACTAATTGATTTGTTGTTTTCAGAACAAGGTTGTCAGACAATTCAAGATCCAAAACGACAAGTGTGTACCTGGTATCTACCGGAAAGCACCAGGTTCTGAACAAGAGGAAACATCGGAAGAAGCTCCAACTAAAAGAAGCCGAAAAAGAGCTGCGAAGGTTCCAGTTGCTGATTCCAAGAAGTTCAAAGGATCTCAAGATGCTTCTCCTGGATCTCCGGTCAATTTAATGGTCTCCACCTCTTCTGGATCCGTTCAAAATGCCATTGGATCTCAACAGTCGCTGAATTCCACAAACACTTCGATTTCCTCCAACATGACAAGGCCTTCGATGACTCCTCCGATGACTGGAAATCCATCTGTTGTCTTCAATATGTCACAAGCATCGACGTCATCTGGAGTCGCTCAAAATTACTTTGAATATGGATACGATTTTTCGAGTACTTCATCTTCTTCTCCAGAAAGTCTCAACCGTTTCTCGACGTCTCCTCCAATGACTTTCGATGAGAATCAGGATCCAATTGTCAACTACAGTAATCCAATGGATACCAATTGCTTTGGAAACGAATACAACAACGTCTATCCCATGCAGATGAATGGATTCGACTTCAATGCTCCACCAAATCCATACCCATTCGATTTCAACAATGATTACATATTTTAATATGTCATGTGAAATACTCTGCGATCTCATTTAAATTCTTACTGGTTTGCTAACTAAATTTTTTTTTGAATAATATATTTCTGTTAATAAAAATATAAAAATAAAAGTCGGCATTTTTTTTCAATTAAACTTAAAAAGACTAAACTTGAGAAAATTTCTTGACTCAAGCATTCGAAGGTGGTTCACTTACAAGGGAACCATGTTTAGCCTTCATCTCAGAATTTTTTCTAAATTTGCTCATTTATAGTTTTAAATACGGGCTTTCTTTTGAATTTTCAATTTTTCGAAAATTTTTTAAATGTGCTAAAATGAATTCTAAACGCATAAAAATGATAAAATGAGTCTTTTCACAAGATTCTGTATCCGTTTTAAAGATTCATATCCGTTTTGAAATCCGAAATAAGTGATTTATTCCAAAACTCCAATGAATTGTAGTCCTTGGAAAATCACCCAATAGCACTCAAATATTGTGAAAACATAGATTTACGTACTTCTTGACTGATTTATAACAGTTCCGCAACCAATATGATCAAATAGGGGGATTTCGACTGACATTTTGAGTAGATAAGGCTTTTCAGCAGTGCTTCAAGAATTTTTCAGAGATTATCTTTTTCGAGTTTTTTCCTACTGAAATAATAGAGCAAACATAGTTTTGATTTTCGAAAAGTTCAAAGCATTCCTCCAACATCAAAGAAAAAAGAAAATGGACAGTGACAGAATCGAACCTCAAACTTGTGATTACTATTCATCTCCACTATCTACTCGGCCACTGTTGCTCGTTTCTTCCACAGTGAAGAATGTATAGAGGAAAGGGGGGAAAGTGGAAGGGAAGGAGGAGACCAAAAAAACAGCATATTTTCAGATGGACTTTTCTCGGCTTCTAGAAATTTGTACAGAAAACCGAATAAACCACGAGAAAGCCCGTATTTGAAACTATAAATGAGCAAATTTAAAAAAAATTCTGAGATGAAGGCTAAACATGGTTCCCTTGTTAGTTATGTACCTCTGAAATCATTTCAAAAATACTAGATTGCCATCTGTCTTTTTTATTGCTCATCAATCCAGTTTTGGACCGGAGGTTGTAAACTATTTATTATGATTATATTATGACGTTTTAGTTATTCGGCATTCTCTTTGTAAGACTCCTTTTTTATTAGGGTCTGTAAACTTTAGGTAAGATTTTATATCACCCAATCAATCAATGAATCTACAAATTGAGACAAAAGATAAGGGCAAGATGAAACAGAAAATTGAAAAAAATACAAATACAAAGTTTTCGGAATTAGCTAAATTTAAAAATGTCATAAGAACTGCTACAAATTATCAAAATTGTCTAGATATTCTTATTCGAAAAAAAATGTTGCTGAAATTCAAAATTCTCAAAAGTAAAGAATTTAATCCAAAACATTCAAAACATAAAGCTTGGGAATTTTTGAAGATTCTGAAAAAGTAGATTTTGGAAATTTGGCTCAAAAACTCAAAAAATTTTTTTTGGTCCAAATGATTCAATTCACAATTTTTCTGAATTTGAGAACCTGCTATACCCCGAAATTCCTTTTTTTCTAAATTTCTTCCTCTCGCTCCTAGACAAAACCGTAAACACTCATTATCCCCTAATTCCCAATACACCCATTGTCTAGAAAAATAACTTCGGCACTCTTTCCAAATAATCTTCACTCGCAAATGGGTCTCCAAACCTTCTCTCAAATAAAAAATGCGATAAACCTTTTTGCATTCATATTGGCAGTTATCACAAATTGTGTGATCGTTTTTCTGGTAATTACCAAATCACCCCAGAAATTTGGCAATTATCGACATCTTATGGTTTATTTTTCAATGCTTTCAATTTTATTGGCTTTTTTGGATTATTTGGTGCAACCGGTGAGATGGAAATGGGGGAAAATCGGTATTAAAGAAAAAATTGTCCTGTTTCAAATTACTGATTTGATTGGCTCATTGATATGCGTACAATTCGGTTTGATCTTTAACTGTAAACGAACTTAATATAACTCACAATCAGAACGTTTCTAGCTTCAAAATGACAGTAAAAAAAATAACTTCTCAAAAATTACTATGTTGTATTCTGAAAAAATATTTATGTTTCAAATTGCTGATTTCATGGGTTTGATGATTTTAAATTATTGGATGACGGGATACATTGAACATTGAGAAAGTGATTTCCAATTTTGAGTTAGACACGCAGTGAGTCTCGTTTCTCTGCACTCTAGCCTTAGTACAAAATTTAATTTAATTTGTTTATTGATCAGGTGTAATAAAACATTAGAGGGCAGGACATGAAAGACTCAAAAAAAATGCCCCTCACGAGGCCGATCTGAGTAGGGGAGGGGAAACGGGATAGTTTAGATATTTGACACAGGAAAGATGTAACCGGTAGAAAAAGAAAAATAGGGAGCAAATATATCAATAACGGGTAATACTGGAAGAAATTAAGGATTCAAACTCGGAAGGTAGGAGAAATCGGGTAACTTGGGAAGTGATGGCGTTCCACAGGGGAACAATTGAAGAAAAATAGTCAGAGGAGTAGGGCTGAATAATAATTAAGTTCATAGGGCGACGAGGGGAGGAGGAGTATTTGACATGTGCATTTAGGTTAGGAAAGTAGGCGGAGCCATTTAAAAATTTATAGAGAAGAATTAGTTGAGCTTTTAGCCTACGATGTCGAATGGAGAACATATTGAGGATAGAGAGACGATCAGAATAGGAACTGTACTGGATATTACAACGCTGGAAAATACACTTAGAGAAAAATCTTAAGGGAGATTCTAGTTTTAGAGCAAGGTAAAAAATGACCATAACTCTGTGAATATTCACTCAAATCCATTGAAAATTGTATTTTTGAATTCAACATGTTTTTAGCTTCAATATAACTAGAAAAATGATAATTTTCGAAAAAAAATTGATTCCTAAAAACTTCCCTGTTTCAAATTGCTTTGAGTCATTGATCACAAACTCAGTTTCATTACAAAAGCGGCCCTGACCACTTGTTTTTTTTTCAATTTTTGTAATTTTGTGGCAACGACGCAGTGTGTCTCGTTTCTCTGCACTCTAGCCTTGACACTAAAAATATCATAACTCTGGGAATATTCACTCAAATTTATTGCGAACCATATTTTTGAATTCAGCATGGTTTTAGCTTCAAAATGACTGAACCACTCAATCGAAAAAATCTAACCAATCAATCGAAAAAATCTGTAATTTTCGGTTAGAGCCGCAGCGTGTCTCAATTCTTTGCACTCTACGGCATAACACAAAAAAGGACCATAACTCTGTGAATATTCATTGAAATTCATTGAAAACTATCTTTCTGATTTCAGCATGTTATCGGCTTCAAAATGACTGTAAAAAGAGTAAATTCTCAAAAATTATTATTTTCCATTCTGAAAAAAAATTTCCAGTTTCAAATTGCTGATTTAGTCATTGATCAAAAATTCAGCTTCGTTGGAAAAGAAACCTCATTGTCAGATATATTGAAAACAATCGTTTGTAAAATCTGTAGTTTTGAATTAGAGAAGCAGCGTGTCTCGTTTCTCGTTTCTCTGCACTCTCGCCTTAACGCTAGAAAGACCATAACTTTTACAATACTCGCTCAAATCCATCAAAAATTATATTTTTGAATTCGGTATGTCCTTAGCTTCAAATTGACTATAAAAACTGAACATTTCGAAACATTATTTTTTCGATTCTGAGAAAATTTCTTGTTTCAAATTGCTGGTTTATTCATTGATCAAGAATTCAATTTCGTTAATAAAACCGGCTGCGTAACCAATCTTTCGAAAAAATCCGTAGTTTTGGGTTAGAGACGCAGCGTGTCTCATTTTTTTGCACTCTAGCCCATAACACAAAAAGGACCATAACTCTGTGAATTTTCACTAGAATTTAACGAAATTTATATTTTTGAAAATTATATTTTTGTCAGCTTGGTCTTAGCTGACACTAAGAACTATACATTTTGGAAGAAATTGTATTTTTTGATTCTGAAAAATTTTCCCGTTTCAAATTCTCTATTTATCAAGCTAACTGTATTTCAAACTGGTAAAAGGGGAAAATTCCTGTTTCAAGCATCCCATTTATTAGGCTATTTCTATTGGAAAACGATAAGTTCTGTGTGGCTAAATAACTCTGAATATTGCTATAAATAGATTTTTCTCAAAATTTAGAAAATTAAAATTCCAAGAAATACAACGAATTTTTTCAGTACGTCATAAGCGAGGAAAGCTTCATAATGATCATGGATTTAAAAGATTCGATTTTCGAAAATCGCCCAACAATTTCTCTGTTACTTTTGGGTAATCAATTAAAAGGGTAATTAAGAACAATTTAAAAAATTCAGCCTCAATTTGCGAATTCTTCCAAGCCACAGTTTGTGCGATCTCAATAAATTTCATATACCGTTATTTTGCATTACAAAGGTGACCTTCAAAAAGTATAACATCTGAACATCTGAAAATTTCAGAAAAGGCCGCTTAAAATATTTTTCTGGAAAATTCCTCTGGCTCTGGATGATAGTACCATTACTGATTGGTGGAATTCCAATGGCAATTTACTTCAGTTTGGGGCCATCTCCCTATATGACCGAGGAGTTGAGGTAGATCAAAAACTTTTCTGTTTTTAGAAAGATCAATAAATTCTTCTTCTTCTACTAGACCCCAACTGAAACGAGTTTATGATATCGACATCGATAAAACCACCTATACCGGCTGTTTTTACTGGAAAATCGATCAAAATGGAATGAAATATTTCAATTTTCGAGAAGTGGTTTATATTCTAATTTTGAATTTAATCATGGGTGCCCATTGGATTTTGATAATTTATTTTGGAACCAAAAGTTACAAAATTATCGTAAATCTGATTCATCAAGGGGAATCTGAATATTCTAGAAGTCTCCAAACTCAGTTGTACAAGGCGTTGGTGGCTCAGGTGGGTCTGAAAATCAGGAATTTCAGCAAAAATCGATATTTCCAGACCCTGATCCCATTATGTTCTCTATTCTTCCCGGTTGCTGTCTATTTCATTTGCCCATTTATCTGATTATCTATCAAATGGGCAAATTTAGTTTTCGGATTTTTCTATGCCCTATACCCTGCCCTTGATCCAATTCCTATCATTTTTCTGGTTGATGACTATCGAGCCACTTTTCTGAGTTTGTTAATTAGTTAATTAGGGTAATTTAAAAATGAGAATTTCAGATTTCTTTCGAAGAATATTTTCCAAGAACGAGGTGGCTCCTGTGACTTTGTACGAGCCAAATATGAATAGTTTTTCTACATGAATAATTTCGAAAAGTTGTCAAATAAACGTTGAGCAATTTTTAAAAAATATGTTCAAATATTGTAAGAAATCGAATCAGAAAACATTTTTCAGAATACTAGATTTTGCGGAATTTCGAGTATTTTGGTTCAGCAAAAAGAGCATCAGATATTTCTTTTACGAAATCTCAGGTTTTCAACGTTTCGGATCAGTTTTAAATATATTCCTTTTTAGGGAGCAAAGAGCAAAAACTCGAAATTAGTTGTTTATTACTAAACCTAAAAAATCAGCCATTTGAAACAGGAAAATTTTTCAGGAAAAAAATATTTTTTTCAAAATTCATCGTTTTTATAGTCATTTTGAAGCTAAGAACATGCTGAATTCAAAAATATAGTTTTCAATTAATTGGAATGTGTATTTATGGAGTTATGATTAGTTGAGTGCTGACGAGAGTGAAGAGAAACGAGACACACTGCGTCTCTGAACCAAAACTTTAAATTTATCAGAACTAATACTCGACTCGAATGAATTGAATTGTCAAGCCAATTAAAACAATCTTTTTGAAACAGAAATTTTCAATAAATTTGAATATTTTAGATTTCGAAACATTCATTTTCGCATTTATTTCTCGATCCATTGAATTGAAATTTTTAGCTCAAACGATTTCTTGAGATTTGTTATTTCGATCCCAAATTCTAATCATGTCCTTTCATGAAGTGTGCATATATGACCCAGACAAGAGAAATAAATCAGAAATAGAAATTCTGATTAATTCGAGAAAAAAAAAACTTCAGGGGTAGAGACGCAGTGTTTCTTCTTTCTATGGACTCTAGCCAATCAAAAACGTCGCAACTGTGCTAGTCTTTGATGTAATTTTCAGGTACTTCATTTTCAGAAATTAGCAGGAATTTTTCTTCAAAATGAGTACAAACTTGACTATTTCTGGAAAACAATTTCCGTTACCAAATTTGTGTTTATAAAAGGTTGGTGATAACGTTTCCAAGTCTTGATCGAATTGTTTGTTTTGAAAATTTTAAATTTTATTCAAAATGCTCACAAATTCGTGTCACAATGAATATAAACATGACTATATATTTTAGAAAATTTTTTACATTGAAATTTTCAAAATATATACTTGACATTAATGTTGGAAAACTGTTTAAACTTGGATTCAGAAAAAAGTTTCTGTTTCTATATTTCTTTTTTCCGGGCGTGTCGCGTTATTCTGCACTCTAGCTGTAACATTAAAAGGAGTCCAACAGTGTGAATATTTATTCAAATCGATTAAAACCTACATTTGAATTTCTCATGTTTTAAGCTTCAAAGTGACTATAAAAATGTTTGTAACTTTATTTATACTTTCCGATTTTGAAAATATTCCTGGTTTGCTTGAATATGAAAAAATCTACATATTCCGTGAAATTCAGGATGTTCTTTGATTTCAATTGACTATAAAAATATTTATTATTGTAAAAGCATATTTTCTGATTTTGGGAATTTTTCTGTTTCAAATGTTCCATTAACTGGGGTTAAGTTTCTTGCATTCCAATTCGTTAATAATTTAATGACTATACTTATGAACTAGTATGCGCTTAAAGCTAAAATTAGCTTCAAAAGCACAATCGACATAATTGACGTTGAGAATTCAAAAAATGAAAACTTGTCAGAACATCTTGAAGACAACTTTCTAAAAATTATTCAGAATTGTCTTCATGGTTGTGAGGTAATGAAATTCTTCAGGAACTGAAATTTAAACAAAAAGTTTTCAGCACTGACCTGTGCATCATTTTAGGTCAATGACACATATTTGTCGAGACCTCCATAAATTTATTTTTTTGTTTTTTTTTCTAAGAGAATGCCACTTGATGTAGATTTCTTATTGTCTAGTAATAAACATCAGTTTCAAAACTTTCATACCTTTGGTAACTTAAAAAAAAATATATATAAGAGAGATCAAATTTCAAAATTTTCACGTTTGAGAGAAAATAATCGAAAAAGAGAAATATTATGAGAATTTACACATTAAAACTACGATTACAAAAAAGTTATTTTTAAATGGGAATTTTCTTATTTTCCCCAGAAAATGTAGCGTGAACATTTATTTTTATTAAATATGGGTTTTCATGAAAAATCCACAATTTTTTGATTTATTTTTTAACGTTTTTATTAAAATTAAAGAACAAAAACACAGAATCGTTCTGCAGAACCTGCAGAACGATTCTGTGAGAGAAAAATATGACGCGAAAATTAAATCACAGAATCGTTCTGCGGAACGATTCTGTGAAGAACACAGTTTTGAATAGAAAAAAAGAATTTCAATTTTTTCTGCGTGAGCACAGTATTTTTCAAAAAATTCGTTTTGACTCCAAACGTGAAAATTTTGAAATTTGATCTTTCTTATATATAATTGTATCTGTTTACACATACGTCAGTCCTTATACTGGCTCGTGCTTATACTGGATCGTACCCTTCTTTGTAAACAATTCTTATCATTTTTCTCGTTGATGATCATCAGTGTGCGCTTTTTAAGTTAGTAATATGAGCTTAATTAAGAACACACCATAATGTTATTAACAATGGTCATATTGGGACAAACGTTTCATCAGTTGACTTTCTTTCAATACAGGAACCGAAATAATTAGAGTTAAAAGAATATCACGATTCTTCTCATTATTTCGGTTCCTGAATATTGTACTCAATACATTATCGAGTAACAGTGAAATTCAAAAAAAAAACCAAATTTCAGATGTTTTTCTATCGAAAACTAAGTGGAATCTGCGCAAGTTTATGAGCGGAATCTGGATAGCTTGTCGCCATGAAAAATTATAATATTTTGCTGTTTCAAAGTGTCAAGTTAACTTTTTAACTTTTTCCGCTCATTTCAGTACGCTACTGTAAACCTTTTCTCAATCAATAAATCATTTTTCGTCGATTTTCAATAAAGGCTGAAAATATTGAACATGTACTTAAACACTATATGAATCAGTATTTCTTCATCCTTCCAGTTTTTGATAGTCAATTTTCCGAGAAAAAAAACTAAAACGGAACACTCATGTTATACAACAGGATAAATGTTATTCCCACTTACAATCAGTTTTAGTTTTAACCAGAATATTTCATTTCATTCGGGAATACTCCAAAAAAATTCCAGCTTCACAAACATCTGAATTACACAGTTTTCTAAAATTAATTATTTATTTATTGCAAACGACCTAAAAGACCAGGCGGACCGGATATTGTGCTAAAAGTCAATTTCAGATTTTTTTCACACGAATCCTTACAGTATTTTCTGTTTCAAAGTGCTCAGATAACTTTTTCCGTTATTTAAAATTTCAGTGCGCTAGAGATATACTGATATTAGAATTTTTCAATTCGGAATTACTTAGCTACAGTACTGTAGGTCAAGTGGGCGGGGCAAGACTCTGCATTTTCGCGTCGCAGTGTACAGTTATACACTTACCTTTCTCACCTCATAGCTCAGCTGCCCGATACCTTCAATCTTTGACTTACTAGGTCAACTCCTCTAGGGCCTTCTGAATCATAGCTCATTTCAAAAGTACATAATTCGAAACTGATCTTTCACTTCTACTTGACACATTCAGAAACTAAAAAACCAAAAGCTTATAAAAAGTGAAAAACAATCGCGTTTTCTACTAATGAGGTATTCTCCAGAGAATTATCATGAGTTATTATGACCCCGATTTCTTGTTTCTCCTCCCCTTTAAAATTGTTTTCTCACTTCATTCTTTCCAAATCTCGGCTCCTAAGATGTCGTTTTCTCACTTGCTGAAAACGTTCGCTCAATTTGTCGCGGTGACATTCTCAATGGCAATTAACGCTGTTCTAATCATCCTCGTCGTTTATCACTCTCCAGATAAGATTGGAAACTACAAGTACCTCATGATTTACTTCTGCTTGATCTCCATGTTCTATGCGGCGATTGACTTTACTGTCCAACCGGTAACCTTCACCTAATTGGAGATGATTGGCTAATTAGGCTAATTAACTTTTGTTTAGTATCTTCACAGCTACGGCTCCAGCTTCTCAATGATCATGGATCTTCGTGGGAGTGTCTTCCAGAACTTTCATTATGTTGCTTTTCTGTTAACCTCTTCTCTAGCCGGCTGCTTTGGTATGAGCATCTACGCAATCTCCATCAACTTTGTTTATCGATTTTTTGCGATTCAAAGGTAACTATTTCTTCGAGTTTGGTTACTGTACTTGAGCGACATTATCTCGGCTCCTATACGAGATATCAAGAATTTTGATGAAATGCCTGTTACAATATTACCAACTAAATTACAGATTCTTGATATCTAGTACGGACATTAAAATAGCTCAAATTAGAGAATTTTAGAGCGAACGGCACCAAGAACTTCTCCGGCTTCAAGTTATTCTTTTGGCTTTCAATTCCAATTGTTGCTGGGATTGCTTGGTTGAGCGTTGGAGTGTTCCTAATGGATTACGATGAAGAATTTGCGGAGTATTTGAGGTAGGAGTTTGATTGCTATTGACCCTCATAATTGGGGAACTTATGGTTTGTGCTATCATAAAATAAGGATCCTTGGGGAGTCTGAAAGGGAGCAAACGAAAAACAAAATAGCATAATTTTGTCTAGTCTAGTTGTCTGGTATAGTTGATCAGTTTCAGAAATTGGTTTCGCGGGGAGCGTAACGTAATATTATACCGGCGAAGAAAAGACACAAAGGTCATAAAACAGCAAAAAATGAAAAATCTCAAACTGTAGTAACCTTAAGGCCTTCAAACTACCAGTATATTATTTCCTGTTACAGTACTATCGTTAGTTTTTTGCGAAATTTTCCAACTGATCTTAGTAGATTCATCTCTCCGAATGAATTTCATCATAAATTCCTGATTTCTAAACGAATCTGAATACAAGAAACCGATTTTGGCATTAAAATTTAATTTTGATGAACAGTAGGGGTACCGAAGGATTTCCGACCGCGTAGCTCAGGCACCTCATGCCCCCACCTTTAAACAGATCAACTAAAATTTCAAGATGTTCCAAAAATTCAGTTTCCACTGTTTCTGTAACATCACAAGTACAATGTTTTTATTCCCTGGTACTAGTACTTCTGCATTTCGGGAAGAAACATTTTGGGCACTCTAGGGAACCCCTCCAACGTCATCAAATTCCAGCGAGAGCATTTACAAGAGTTACGGGCTGGATTGGCACTACATAACACTCACGGGATGTATGTACTTTCGGTCCGATGGGAATGGCGGTTCGCATTGGAGCGTAAGTGATACAACAGGAGCAGCGGTTCTTACAGGAATCATGGTTAGTAATTCATTCTGATTGTTTCAGATTCCTTTCAATAATTCTAAACTCGCTGTGAGAGATATCAAAAACCTGTCAACGGATAAAATGTTTATTATATCATCAGCAACATTTTTGTAGTTAACATAATTTCGACACCTCTTACAGGAACATAGATAATCAATCTCAAAGCGCATGACAAGACCCCTTTCCAGAACACTGCCTTCTTCATCATTCTCTACTTTGGATACCGTACCAAAAAGATGATCAATTGTCTTACTACAAATAAAGGAGACACACGGTTTTCACAACGGTTACAAAAGCAATTGTATAACGCATTGGTTGCTCAGGTTGGTTTAAAAACCGACAACTGCACATGTTTAACTGCTAGAATTGATCTCTTATTGCCCTCATAAGAACTGCCTGAAAGGGAAATGTCCCTGTTCCGTCTTCTTAGCTCCAATTGTCTATACCAGGCTGTCAAACACGGCGTGGCCGACTGCGGCTTTTTGGAGAGTTCCGATTTATACTCCAAACCGTTTTCCAGACTCTGATTCCGATCACCTTCCTCTTTATCCCAATCGGCATCCTATTCTCTGCGCCTCTTTTTGGTTTCGATCTCGAGAGATGGAGTTATTTGGTCACATTCTTCTACTCATTCTACCCTGTCGTTGACCCAATTCCAACCATCTTTTTCATTGACGAGTACCGGACTGCCTTTCTGAGTAAGTTCCGTCAGTTTCTAAGAATTTCAAAAAAAATATTCTTCAGACTTCTTCCGCCGAACACTAAACCGGAACCAAGTCACTCCAGTGAAGTCCATTGATATCGTACCGGAACTTCCGTAGATCGCATTAAATTTTTCCGTTTTTATTGCACTTTCTTCAATCAAAATATTTGAATAAATATCCATCATACTTTCTGTTCTACTTTTCTCAAGAATATCCAGATGAAAATGCTGAAATTTTTCTGAAAAAATCAAAAATGAATAGCTTCTACAAAGACTATTTTCCTTTCAAGTTTTCTAGCGGTTATCATATCCAAGGCCAAACAGGAATCAATGTTATTTTAGCTACAATATTTTTCAAATTTACATTCAAGCCGATTTTTCATTATGTTTATCATGTTTAATGGTAACTCCCGAAAAATGCCGTTAAAAGCGAAAAATTTTCAAAAAAAAGTTGCTAGGAGGGACGAGGATTTGAATTCCCG